TTATAATTCAATTATTTCATAGAAAGAGTGGGTGACAATAAAGCACACAGTACACGTGGTCGATGGACATTTACATCTATACTCACTCACCATACGAAACACAGTAGCATTTTGTAGTAATTTTACACCGGTTCTATGTTGTAATTAGCGTTATCCTTCCACAATTCAAGCCGCAGCTATAATGAAACTGCAGTCTCTACCATGCATAAACTATACATTACATGCCTATATATACGATTATATTAGAGATACGAATATATCTTTAAATTATACATTTTTGAATTATTTCGTATTTCATCTTATGACGTCTATTCCAACTATATTTTTTTCATGTGATCCTGGGTTCGAATCCTGCATCGGGCCAATATTAGTTATGGGACTTTTTCTCAAGAAATTCTCAATAGCAGCTCGGAGTCAGGAAATTGGCAGTGTTTCACCCCATGTGCCTCGGAAAGCATCTAAAGCCGTTGATACCACGCCTGATCTCTCTCCGGTTGTGTCGGTTTGTGACCTATCGGACTATGAAAGTGAAGGAATAGGGGGGCACTTGTGCTTTTTTTATAGGAGAGGGGGCAAACGAGCATGTGGCTCACCTGATGGTAAGTGACTACCGCCGCCCATGAACAACCGCAACACCAGGGGAATTGCAGATGCGTTGCCGGCCTTTTAAAAAGGAGTAGGCTCTTTTCTTGAAGGTCCCTAAGTCGTATCGGTCCGGAAAAATCGCTGGTGGTAACCTTGCTTGATGATGATGGCTAGTCTCTGTTGAGACTGGCTGCCGTGACTGAAATCCGGTCTTGAGGATTATTTTTTGCTTAGAACTCCATCTAGGACACCAAGAAGGCCACGTGAGTAATGGGATTATGGGAGCCTTCATTCAAATTACACTTTGATGTTTATTATTCTAATGGACGAACAAACATGCTCTAATTGAAATGAAAATGAACACTTTACTCGTATTTAGATGAATTTTCGAGATATTTTAATTCATATACAGGTAAACTTAATGAATTCACTGACTGAATATCAGATATTACATTACAACGGGTCGTGAGGTACCGCTGCGTTCTTGTACGTATATTTCGTTTATCCCGTTGAAGAGGTTTTAAATGGCATACATTATATTAAATTTTGTATTGTTTTTAAGAATAAATTGTTTTGTGTGTTCTGTAATTAAGAATAACCATAACGCCCCTAAGAGCTATTGCAGCCTATAAAAGTTCACTGCCAAACATAGTCCTTCTCCATAATGTGTTACGCCGTACAGAAGGGATTTTGCCATATTTGCCATGCTTTTTTTTATAGGATAAGGGTGACAAACGAGCACACAGTCCACCTGATGGTAAGTGGTTGCTGCGGCCCATAGACATCTACATCTATCCTCGTTTGCGAATCAAAATGCAGATGCGTTGTCACCCGTGAGGACTAAGATGTAATGCCTTATTTCCAGTAAAAAGGGCCTCCGGCCACCTGCACTCACCAAACGAAACGCAGAGGTAAACCTCTACTTCACGCTGGTATTCTGTGAGGTCGTGGTATCACCCCAGTTCGAGCCGGCCCATCCGTGCGACAGCAAAAGCTGCCGCGTGGCTCTACCACTGGCTTGGCAGGCGGGTTGGTAACCGCAAATTTTTATTATTTTGTGTTGTAATCAGATAGATACTGTTTCAGTCCCTCCCCTCTTTCAGTTTTCCCCTGGCGCCTCTTACTCGTAAGACACCCAAGGGACGATTATATAGGGAAGTCGATATTCTTACACCGTCAGTACACGGTAACTCTGTACCACCATCATCATGCGGCAGTCCACTACTGAAAATAACTCTGTAATAAACTGTTATCTTTTCTACCGACTTCAAAAAGGAGACGGTACTCAATTCGACTGTATGTTTTTTTAATGTGTGTTATCTCATAACTTTTTTGTGGGCGAACCGATTTCGATGAGTTTTTTTCATTTGAAAGCTGGTGGTTCTATATAAATTTGATCAAGGTCTGACCTATATATTTTGAGTTATTCTTAATAATTTATATTGAAGTCGGTTGTACAAAATTTTTAATTTTTATTTATTTAGAATATTGTCCGATAAAAAAATCTATAGAGTTAATTTGCATTCAAAGGGGCTTATATTCCCAACAAATTATTAATATTACAGAGTATTTTGCTAGACATTCGGATGATCCCATGATAGCACAATCTTTTTTTCAGCAACGTACAACGTGCTTATCTTAATAACTTCAAATCATATTTATATGTGATATCTTTAGTTGTGTAGAATATGCACATAAATCTTATTACGAACAAGTATTTTTTGCTGTTTTAATTTTTTTCATTATCAACTCGTTAAAGTTTACTGCTAAACATGGGCCACTCTAATTTTAGAACGATTTGCCCCAATCGTCGTGAATCTTTGAAACGGTTGTTCATAGCTGGTTTAGTATTTTAGTCTGTAGAAAACGAGATGGTTAATACATTATGACACCCATGGGCGAAATAAGATGACGAATTCTCTTACGGCGTTAATACTTTTGTTTAATTGTTTAATTTTTAGTTCTTTTTTAGTCCCACCGATTTCCTTCATGTATTCTCAAATCATCAGTCCATCTAGTTTGAAACCGTACCTTCGCTTACCAGTACGACGCTCTCGAAAACCTTTCGTCCCCATCGGCTGTCTATGCATGTGTGTGTGTGTGTGTGTGTGTGTGTGTGTGTGTGTGTGTGTGTGTGTGTGTAGTTGATAGTGAAATACAACTTTTTACGTATACAAGCTCAAAATTTTATGAATTAGGGGTGTCCTCTCCCCTACTGCTGCAGCTGAGGTGGAGTCGCAGAGGAAGAGGACTGTTAATATGGCGATGCGCCACTAGCCCTATCCTATATGAATTGCGAGACGCCACTCTCGCTAACCTCCGTGGCCGAAACTTGATTGGCGGCGGAGCCAAGGACCAGATCCGCCGCTGGGGTCGTGAAAGCGGGTGCTACTAAGCGCTCGATTTTCCTGGCCCCATGGCCTCCGCGTATCGGACTCGGGGGGGGGGTAAGATACGCAGATGGAGTTGGAGGCCGTGGAGGGGGGCGTGCTTTGTGTTCCTGGGGCGCCTTGCTTGTGAAGGAGAATGGGGAAGAGGGGTCCTCCCCCGAGAAGGGGCTGCCATGGGGCGGCCGGCGCTGGTGGGATTGCAGATGTGTGCGAAAGCGTTCCCGTGGCCAATATGCTGCGAAGGTGGAACACCATGGGGTTTTAGTCGGTGCGAGTCCGACATAACCCGTCCTTGCCCCTGGAGGCGGGTATGCGTAAGCATTTCCCCATGTAAAAAAAGGGGCTAAACGCTCGCTGTAAATTTCATAGTACGCGACCAACCCGGGTTCGAACCCCGCCGGCACCAATGAAATTGTTAATTGCAATTTTTAGTGCTAATTTGCCACGTGATCGGCGGTGAAGGAAAACAGTGAGGAATTAAAAAAAATTATATATATATTTCGAAGCTGCAGGACGCCAACACGTATGGGAACAGTGCGGCGGACATTTCTTTGCCCTAAAACCCTCTCAGAAATGATGAGAGGAGGCCTGTGCCCATCAGTGGGACGTATATATTAGGCTGTAGATTTTAAACAGTACACAGAAATATATATGTATAATATTGAAAGCATGAATATTGACTATGACGTGGTTACATTTTGCAATATCGTGATTTCTGATAGTCTGTGGTTTTGCGGTCAAATTTCAATTACATTGTTGAAACAGGATGTGACCAATAGCGAGGGTAGTAGTCTGATCATATTTATTAACTGCATCTACTTTATTCAGATAAATAATTATTGAAATTGTCTCTAAACTTAATGATAATATTAAATAGATACTTGTTATATTGCATAAATGTTAGCATTAATTTTTTGTGCTATATTCAGAAATAAGTAATTTTAAAAAACGACACCTAATAATGTATGTGAATAGGCCTAACCATCTAGTATCAGCTTGCACACATACTAAAGATATGGGTCAAAATTTCTTCTGCCAATTTGTAAGTGAATGATATTTTATTTGATATAAAATCGAAATGACAAACGAACTTACAGTTTACCTGATCGGTTTAATGCTGCTGTGTTTCGTATGGTGAGTGTAGAGAACCGGAGGCTCTTTTTACTGGAAGCGAGGCATTCCATCGTAGTCCTCAGGGGTGACAATGCATCTGCATTTCGATACTTAATTGAGGATTGAAGTATATGTGTATGATCGGGGGCATCCACTTACCATCAGGTGGACTAAGTGCTCGTGGGTCACTTTTATTCTATAAAAAAATGTAATGAAAAATAATAATTAACAGTGAAATCTTTACTTATTTTTTTGAAATAATTTCAGACTGTTAAGTATCACACTCTCTGGAATTATTAACAAACAGTAACCTTTATTAAGCAATCCCCTCCTTAGAACGACTATTAATTATGTAATTTATTTCTTACGCTCGTTTAGCTTTGTGTGCTGAAATAAACACGCAATAGATCGCCTGTTAAGAAAACATTTAGTTGATTTACACACCAATTTTCTTAATGTTTATATTTATAATAAGTATTTTATTATGACTGCTTCGTTGCTCTAGTGGTTGTATACGCGACTGATGATTTTGAGGTCCCGGGTTGGAATCCCGGGTCAGGCCTAAAATTAGTTATTGTGTTTTCTAACAAGACATTCTCAGTAGCAGTCTGGAGTCTGGAATTTGGCGGAGTTTCACCCCCGTGCCTCGGAAAACACTTAAAAGTCATTTCACCGCAATAAGTTATAGCAGTAAATGTTTTAACATTATATTGAAATGTTATTTTGTTTTCGTTTCCGTCTCCATCTAAAGTTAATTAAAATATTCAGCATTCAAATTTTATTCTAGTCAAAATGATTGCGAAACATAAATTAAACTTAAATTATTTCATTTCTGTTTCACATGGTCAATAAAAAATATATTTCATAGCTATTCGACGAATTTTCACTACTTATAAATAAAACAAGTCTTACCTGTTTTCACTAATTTGAACGTGACTTGCTGTTGGTTCTTCAGCTGTTCATTGTGAGCTGGATGAGTTAACTCCCGAAGAGCCATCTCGACCGGTGGTTGCTGCATTGTAACTGTTTTAGGTGGTGTTGATTCCCTTGATGAATGGAATTTACGAAAGAAACTTCTTTTCTTCGGCTTCGAACTTGAACCTGTTAAAATGAAACAAGCAGGTAGTAAACTTCATCTGATTAAAAAGTCTATCATCTAACATCTAAAGAAATCAACAGAAATCTCAGGTTAATGAAAGATCCCCCAATTAGTTTATAAGCTAAGTAATAAATAAAATTAGTTAACTCAAATAACGCCACGCAAAATTGTTAGTTCACGCAATCAAATTGAAATTCACACTATTGCTTAAAAACCTTCACAAGATGATCGCTGTGTTGGCGTCGAAGGCGTGGATGTGCGGGCAGATGGCACAGGGGAAGGATTAATCGTCGGTTCGGAGTACGGCCGTGGAGGGAGCAAACTAAGGGACGAGGTCGCAGGCGAAGGAAACTGCGCTCCCGATGCATCTGAACGGCGCTCTGGTTCCGGAGTCGTGACACGAATATTTGCACCGAACTGCGGTGTATTTGCTACTTCAAAAAGAGCATCGAAGTCCCTGTCAAAAATGTTTTTCCTCGAGAATGCTGGAGTCGGTAGTGGGGCGGGTAGTTCGAACTCATCCGGTGCGGGGGTCCTAACGATTTTACCAAATTCATTATCATCATGGCGACCCAGCTTTTTGAGCAGCTTCGCTTTGGTGCGCTCGCGCAGCTTTGCCGGCCGCTCGAGCGACGGCGTCGGCGAGGCCGGCGCGCGCTCTGCGAGCTCCGGAGGCGCCGTTTTGGGGAAGGAAACAGCACGGGGCGGGGCGGGGGTCGAGGGCTGAGAGTTCGCGCTAGTCGTCGCGTGCGGCGGCGGCCCGAATAATACGTCAAGCGTAGGCCGCTGCCGGGGCCGCGGCAGCGAGTACGAGCTGTACGTAAGGGAAACTACTTCTTCTGCAGGATATATTACGTACATCCCTGGCGAGACCGCATCGCGCCGGCCCCTCGCGCCCTCCGAAGAGGTTCACGCGCGTTCACAATACTCACAACGACTTTGCTATATCGAAATCGTTCTTGTAGAGGTTGTTAGGCGCCTAAAGCTTTACACGTCTTTCGTATTTGAATTCTGTGGAATGTCGTTTAGATTATATTGAATATTATAGAGGAACAAGGAATAAGGAATGTTTCATGGGAGATTTTGAGCTATTAAAAGGAGGCAGGGAGGTATTTTCTTCATGTAACAACACCCGTGAGCCCAAACAACGCATCGTAGACCTAAAGAAAAAAGAAAACATTTAATCATGAAAAAAATACGGCATTATTTTAGTAGGGCGTTGATGTTAATTTACTATAATTCATATTTTTATTTTTGTTCTATGCCAAAAAGGTAAAGGGTGAAATGTCAACACAAAAGCCGAGGGAAAATCCTTTATGCCGCTAGGCACTGTTTTATTACATTTTAATAAGTTATTATTAAACTAGCTTCCGGCAGAAGTTTTTCTGTCCTTTCCTGTAGGTGGCGCGAGTGTGTACTGTGATATAAATATAAAATTTATTAATAACAACAAATCCGTTTTCCCTATTAGACAGATTTTAGAGATTGGTTACTGAATGCCCCAATTTCGTCAATCAATTAATTAATCCCTTAGCTTTATAACTTCTTATCAAGAAAAGAACATTGAGAGAACTGTAGCAAAAATAGTCGAATACGCTCACAATTTTTAAAAATTTATCAAGTTTTAAGAGACTTCAAGTACTTAAAAAATAACTTGTAAAGTAACTATCAGCATTACATCAAAAAACTTTGTGAAAATAACTACAGAAATCGACAGAAGCATATATTTTTTCATATTTATTAATTTTTAAAGTGACACTCATAAAGTGTTTTTATGTAAAACATGATATGTTGAATAGTGATATTAAATAGATAATGTATGGATGAAATTCTATTCTGGTAGTAGTGGTATTCTTAAGTAATTGTTTATGAAAAACAAATTAGCTTGATTCAACATACCTCAAGTTAAATTTTGAATGATGAATTCTGGTTTCATGCTTCGATTATGAATTCCAATTTAGATGTTAAGTATCTATTGCAAGTTCATCAACATTAAACAAACAAAAACTGACATGTATTGTCGACCCTAATGACTAATTCAAAATGTCTCACAGCTTGTAAATATAATTGTTATTTTAACCTATAAACCGGAACACATCTGTGAGTGCACTGCTGCTCGCAGCAGAAAAAGGTAAGAGACTATTCTTATTAATGAAAAAGCCCTAGTCAGAAAAAGATCCCTACCACCCAATCTTTAGTAACCTTAACGCTAGTATGGATGGCAAAAGTTATACTATTATTTTTTATCATCCACACTAGCTCTAATGTAGTTAGTAATGTTGTAAACATTGAATGATTGAGATGGGAAACACCACTACAACATTGTACACAATATTTAGTTTTCATGAAGAAATAGGACGCAAATTCACGGTCATTCCGAGGATTTGAGCCGAAACGAAATTTTGTCGGTAAATGAGACATCGAGTTTTTTTTACTATTCGTTTAATCAATGATCAAGGTAGCGTTTAGAAATATATAGAATAAACCTCTCGTTAAAGGTCCTCGTTAAAAATTTGCCCAATTATTTTAATAAAAAACGAGGAAAATGCTCAGCCTTTCAAAATATGACAAAGATAATCTTTGCAAGATCGAAAATTTGAAAAAATGATCTACTTTGGAGAAGTGCCCACTAAAGTTACTTAAATTACGACATAACCGTAAGACCTTAGAAACAAGATTTTCCTATTTCGCATTTTAAATGTAACGAGGTGTCTCTCATAAAACAGAATTGTGTGAATGTGCTCGACCTCTTTTAATATAACTCGAGGTCAAGTCACTACAAAATAACTTATTTTTATTAAAAACATTATGTGTTTCTAAATATATTTTTATACGATTGCAGTCAGATATAGCCTTTGGTCATTTTACGAGACGACTGCAGACTTCTCTCAAGGCATATCACAAAACGCGGTCCTATATCCATTGATTTCCTGCGTGTCTTACCAAACGTCGCTTTATTTATTGGGGAGCAGCCATACACTTCCCCACGAAAAAAAAAGCCCAACACTTTGCTTACGGGTACGCAGCTGCTTATCGAGAATCTTTCTCCCTTATCCGTTATCATTACCGTTACAGCATATTGAAGTCCACTGCTGAACATAGGCCTCCACCATAGATTGCGTCATAGGGGGACATAGTTTCCACGCTATATTCTTACACACGGTCATTATTCCTCATCATTTGCTAGTGTTTTAAGCTATATAGTAGTTGGCCTCTTGAAACAATAAAACCGTTAAGCTATGGCGGTTACTCTGGTTTTACTGATTTTATCTTCACAACCGATACTATCACGCTCCGGGTATAGCCCATCCCAAAGCTGATAACGTAGCATTTCCAGTCAAGTAGCATGAAAACGTCTTTCAAGTCTGCGGTGAAGAGTTTTGGTGATATAACGTTTACCTTTCTCACACCTTTCTGTAGTTAATGTCGTATATGTCGTAATTTAAGTAAATTTCCCACTCTGGTTTTGTATTCAGACAATATCGTAACCTACAATACAAACATTCAGCACTACGATATACCAACGGTGAATCTGTAACCGCTGATGGCACTGTAGCACCTAGTAAATTTCGACGAAATTGAAAGCTTGCTCAAAGTCTACATACGCAACACAAAGTGGCAAATTGAACTCTGCGGTATTCTGTACAATTTGCCGAAAGGTAACTATGTAAACATTCTTTGAATCAGAGTCCCGAAATATTTGTGCTGACTTTTTCAGGGCAGGGGTTTATTTTCCGAATATTATTTATGTAATCTACTTGTACATATATATTCAACTATTGAGTAAAAAAATATTCTTTAATAGTCATTCTTAGTATATTGATGGACATAACTATTTTTTTAACAGCTACATATTGTCGTTGAGAGTATCAGGGATCACGTAGGAATCTATAGCTATTGAATTAACTTCTTTGTTGGATATGTGAAAGCTGGCGCATAGTTCTTTTTGTTTTAAATTTTGTTTTAAAGCTTTTTTTACAGGATAGGGTGACAAACGAGCACACAGGCCACCTGGTGGTAAGTGGTTGCTGTGACCTATAGACATCTACATCTATCCTCAATAAAGAATCAAAATGCAGATGCGTTGTCACCTATGACGATCAAGATGGAATGCATTTTTTCCAGTAATAAGGGTCTCCGTTTATCTACAATCACCATAGGAAACACAGCAGTTTTAAGCTGCTATTTTACGCTGGTATTCTGTGATTGCGTTCAGGAAACTCCGACACATCTTTTCGACAGACATACCTCAAAACCTTAAAACGAAATTGTACAACAAGTGCGTGTTGCCCGTGATGACTTCCGGATTTGAGACGTGGTCCTTCACTGCTGGCCGTATGAGGAAGCTCAAGGTCGCTCAGCGAGCTATGGAGAGGGCTATGCTCGGGGTTTCTCTTTGTGATAAACTTAGAAATGAGGATACCCGCAGTAGAACCAGAGTAACCGACATAGCCCAACAAATTAGTAAGCTGAAGTGGCAGTGGGCCGGCCATATAGCTCGAAGAACCGACGACCGATGGGGAAGAAAGGTTCTAGAGTGGCAGCCTCGTACCGGTAGGCGAAGTGTAGGGCGACACCCCACGAGTGACGATCTGGTGAGACAAGCAGGAAGTCGATGGATGCAGGTGGCTCAGGATGGTGCTTTGTGCCATTCCTTGGGGGAGGTCTATATTCAGCAGTGGACTTATGAAAGGCTGTAATGATGATGATGATGATGATGATTTTGTGATTCGTTATTACGCTATTGAAGTGAGAGCAGCAAAGGGGAATGCCCAATTCTGGCCATGAAACGCCCAACAATTTGCATTTGTTAAAAAAATATATCTTTTTTTATGGTAATTAATCGCAGTATTTATGTATCCAAAAAAGATTGCAATATTTTTCCACAAAAAAAGTACCGAAAAGATAAAAATGAAATTAGTTAAATCCGCAAGTCATTAGTTTGTGGGTAAAATAAAAAGTGTTGCCAATCACAAATCTCGTAAAAAAAAGTCGATTATGTTTTTTCAATCGATTTTTATGTTGTCATTATTATAATGGTAATATTATTTTCGATAATTATTATGATGTTATGATAATTAAACAAGCGAATTGCTAGTTGATTTACCATGAACTCTTTATAACATAACAAAAACGCTACTGCACAATTTAACTGTTATTTTTATCTGTTCTTAAAAATACATTTAAAATGGAATTTAAATAAATAAAACAAAACATATTTTAAAAGGCGTGCAGAACTTAAGGCGAATCAAAGATTATTCTTTTTATGAAATTATAAATCGATTAAAAAAATCACTATCTATTTATCGATTTTATGTCTGTTAATTGGCAACATCGAATCTGACAGCTAGGCCCATTTCATAATTATCGAAACTAAATAGTCACAAGTCGAATGACTTTGCATTTGTGTTATTTTGTTTGTTTTCTCGCGGATTTGTTTTCTAAGTAACGAATAAGCTTTCTTAATGGATTCCGATAATTCTTCTCGCCATATTGACCACGGCCTGAAAATGGATCCCGCTCCCACTTCTTACGATAACCTCTGCACGAACTTGGACTCGATATCCACTGTTAACGATGACCCCAGCTTTCCGTCACCCAGAGTTTTTCCTAGCTCTCAGTAACTCACTCAAGAACACATTAACGCTGTGTCAATTGTGGTTTAAATGTCACGAAAATACGAAGTCATTTGTTGTTAAAAACTGTTCTTGTGAAAATAAAAAACCTTTATATCTTAAAAATCCGGACTTTTTTTAAACCAATTCCTTAACCATTACATTATTTTAATTGCATATTATCATTTCCACATGCTTTTATATGTCCGAAGTCCGGCCGAAGTGTCTATGAACGGTGGGCATTCC